ACGAACCCCCTCCCCCCCCTCCTTCATCGTTACCGGCCTAACTCTGTTCAAACATCGTCGGATTCAAGGCTGCAATAGTTGTCATTACTGTTCGACAGAGTTTCCAAGTGGATCGCACGATGATGGCATCTTCCTTCTGCACACCTGCGTTCGCGCCAGTTACCTCGAAACGTAAACGCCCCGCGGATGAGTCGTTTTCATCAGATGACTCTGGGTGCTCCCACTCGCGGGGAATGATGGAGCTACAGTCTGGCAGGACGATGAAGAGGTGGAGGAATGGAAAGCCTCGTGAGGAGGAAGTATATCGTAAGCCTCCACAATTGGGTTTCCACCGGCGCCAGCGTTGAAGCATTCCGTTACATGATCACAACTGCTGTGGTGTATATCATCCACTTGCATGAATGACCAAGCTAACACGACGATAACAGAGTACACTCTCCAAAAACTGTTTTCCGCTCAGAGCTCGCAGCCATCTCATACACCTACCACGTCGAGCGTCTTTAGGGCCATACATGCCCAATCGTCGGGCCACAACGCCAATTCTACAACGCCCCCGGATAGAGGCCAACGCGTCCTCGCTCCTCCTCAACGGATTAGTCCGTTCTCCGTGATGGCACATACGAAGCCAATATCGAGTAATAGTACGCCATTTTCCAAGTTAATGCCATGTACGTCGGCGGCCGCGTCATCACAGGCTCCCGAAAGAATGGCCTCGTGTGAGGATTGTGACCGACCTATGGAGTTGAGTGGATTTTCAGGGATGAATGAGGAAGGGAGGTGTGGGGCATGTTCTAGGAGGGTTTGTGAGAGTGGTTGTTCCGTCTCTCTTGGCGATGGTGCGAGACTCTGCTTGGACTGTGCTATGAGGAGGTAGGGCTCGATTATCTCTTGGTGTTTACCTTGTCGGGATAATATTCCGTGGTATGGGAGTGGGAAAGCTTGGCTTGGTCGTATGCTGCTTGCGCCTGGGGGATTAGTTAGACCGGATACATTATATATCAACCAGTGGGGTGTGGTGGTCACGGGTTGTTTTGGGCGTTGAAGGTTTTCTTCTTTCTTTGCCTCTTGGGATTGGTTTCAGTGTTTTTATATTATTGTTAGTCCATAGTATCCCTTGCTCCCGTGCTGTCTTTCTTAGCATGTCTGTAAAGTATCGCAATATTTTTTCTTTTCGAGTAACATGGTATACTATACCAAGAGTTATCATAGGATCGGGGATTATGGTTGGAGGTTGTTGGCGGTTGATTCCAGTACCGGTATGCCGCTCACGTGATCTTGATTTCTAGCCAACTGCCAAGCAGAACGCGTCCACAATGGGGGACGCCTCCGGGGTTGACCTATCATACCGTACTGAACCTAAGCAAACTTTGCCGATTTCCCTGCCTTTTCTCTTTTCTTCCCTTCCGATCGTCTTCAGATCTATCCATTGGGACGGCTTGGTGCCATGTCTTTCAGGGCATCACAGTTAGATCTTGAGCCGATGCTTGTCGGACTGAATAATGCCCAACGACTAGCCGTGACAAACCCGTCGTCTGTGGTACAGATACTTGCTCCACGTATAATACCTTTTTTTTATTATTACATTTTTTGTCCTCCTTCATCCCAGGTACTCTAGACTGACCGAGCAATAGCTGGTTCCGGTAAAACTAGAACGCTGACGTCTCGTGTTGCATGGCTACTATGTCCTCCCCATTCGTTGGACCCCCGAAATGTTATTGTGGCTACATTCACCGTCAAAGCTTCCCGGGAGATGAGGGAGCGCATATCGAAGCTCGTTGGGAACGGAGTGGAAAGTCGGCTGGTGCTGGGCACTTTCCATAGTATAGCTAGGAGGTACTTGATAAAGTATGGACATCTGATAGACATCAAGGCTGGATGGGGGATTGCGGATTCCGGTGATAGTTTGGGAATTGTCAAGGCGGGTTATGGCTTCTCGGGAGGGAGAATGCGGTGCTGATGTTTGGGTCATAGAGGATAATCAAACGGAGGAAATCGCCATTGGATCCAAGCCAGGTTAGATCTCGGATATCCCATTTCAAAGCCCGAAATAGCTCTCCCGCGGCAAATGCCTTACCACCCCCTTCAACCGCAACGATACAATCCACACAGGCCAGAGTCAAGGACATTTCTGCCGAGGATTTCGTTCAGATCTTCCAGGACTACGAGGAGGCTTTGGAAGCATCAAACTTGCTCGACTATGACGACCTGCTACTTCGATGTCTTGAGCTTCTCAAGCACAACCCGGAATGTGTTAGTAACGTGGAAGCGGTGCTTATCGACGAGTTTCAGGATACGAATTTGGTCCAGTTTGAATTAATGAAGCTACTTGCCTGGAAGCGTGAACGGATTACCATTGTTGGGGATCCGGACCAGAGCATATATGGGTTCAGGGCTGCAGAAATCCGTAACCTGTCGAGGATGGTTAGGGCTTATCCGCAGGCACTTGTGGTTCACCTTGAGCAGAATTATAGGAGCTCTGCTAGTATCTTGCTAGCTGCATTAGAGGTGATTGAGCAAGATCACAACCGCCCGAAGAAGCCTCTTACCCCCACACATGCGGTGGGAACTAGGCCGGTTTTGAGAAGAATTCCGAGCGCTTTTTTGGAAGCGAGTTGGATAGTCTCGGAGATTCAAAGGGTTAGGGCTATGACTGGGGGTATGGTGGAGCTTGGCGATATAGCCATCCTCGTGCGGTCCGCGAATTTAACAAGAAATATCGAGACGAGCTTTGTGAAAGCTGGAGTGGCATACAAGATGGTAGGGGGGTTGAGGTTTTACGATCGTGTGGAGATTAAGACTCTTCTGGATTATCTAAGAGTAGTACAGAATCTGGGCAATAATGATGCGCTGGCCAGGATTGTTAATACTCCTGCGAGGAAGGTTGGGGATGCAACAGTGAAAACGTTACTTGATGAGGGGGACAAACGGACTAAGAGCATGTGGGAAATTATCAGAGCGGGGCTCGGTGGCATCTGGGGAGATGTGAAGATCGCCAAAGCTGCCGAGAAGGGTCTGAGTGACTTTGTGGGAATTATCCTGTCCACCCAGAAGCAGCTTGAAGAGGATGACCAAGGGAAAGGCTTGGTGGATGTCGTGGAATTCTTGATGAGGAAAATAGGCTATGAGGACTATCTCAGAAGGGGCTATCCCGAAGATTTCGATGCGAGGTGGTCTAACGTTAGCGAGCTCCTTTCACAGGCACAGGAGGTGGAGAGGTTGGATGACGACGAGGATATGCTTCCGGACATTGATGGGCTGCCGCAAAGTCAGGTTGGGCAGGGTAGGCTGCAATTGGTGTTGGACCGGTTCTTGTCTAATACAGCACTGGCGAATGAGGTTAAGGGGGATGATGGAGTGGTCGGGCGGGATCAGGTTACAATCAGTACCATTCATGCTTCTAAAGGTGGCTAGGATTGCCGGGTGCTCTGTTGGAATCTTGACTAACAAATGTGTAGGGTTGGAATGGCCAATAGTTTTTATCCCAGCAGTCTACCAGGGCAGCATCCCGCATTCGAGGGCAGATGATACGGATGAAGAGAGAAGGTTACTCTATGTTGCGATGACTAGGGCACAGGCACTTTTATATATGTCATGTCCTGTGAGGAATTCTCAAAAAGGTACTGTCGCTTCCTCGGTGGGCTGACATAGCACGGGCTAACATCGTTGGACTAGACAAGACGAAGCTCTCGCAGTTCCTCGCACATCGCTCTTTACATCCTCTTCTCCACAGCCGTGGACCTGCACTCGGGTTTTCTTCTGTCCAATCTGTTGGCAGAATTCTTGGCCGAGAGTGTCCTTCGGAGGTTCAGATTCAAACAGCCGTTGATAAGAGTGGGATTGCGTCCACATTGGATGACCAATTTCCTGATAAGGATCCCTCAGAGTCTGATAGCGAGGGTGATGGCCTTGATGAAGATGGGGTACGATTAAAGAGGAGAAGGTTGCAGAGTGAACAAGCTTCTTCCAGAGCTAATAGGCCTTTAGACGAAGGATTCAGGCCGGTCATTTCTCGGGAGAGGCCTGTAGGGAGGATGGAAAAACCACCCCCCGGGGTAGTGGTGGGGTTTAAAAGTGCGGGTAGCCACATGCAGGAGCTCAAGGAAACTCGATTAAATCAGGAGGCGGAGAGAGCTCGAGTTGAGAGGGAAAAACAAAGGCGGGGTCCCGTGATGGCTCAACCACCAAACAAAGGCAGCGGCCTGATAAAGGGAGCTCCGGCTGCCCCAGCACGGTCGAATAAAAGACTGGCGGATCAGGGGAGCTTGCTCAGCTATTTCGGGCAAAAGGCGCCAGGGCCGGTGCGAAAGGTTGTTCCGCCTAAAACACCTACTGCGACGGAGGTCATGAGGGACAAATCTATCAGGGATAAGAATCTTAAGGAACAAATTGAAGCACTACCCCAGCCCAAATTCCCCGTCCGGCCTGACCATCATAGCGGTGTCATGTTATTGAGTTCGTCGCCTACGCGTGTGCCGCCCAAGAGAAGGCGAAAGAGAGAAATCCCCTCCTCGCCACCACCACCGGTGTCATCCGTTCCGTTTTCTCGGCATATAGAGTCGGCGAGAGTGGAAAGACACTCTGCAGTTGAAGAGACTACCACCACTGTAGAGTCGACTGTGGTGATACATAGTGCGGCAAGCTCGAGGAACACAACTACAGTGACAAATTCCAATGCTGTAGTTATGGCCGCGGCGGCGGTTGCGGCCCCGAAGAGGAGAACTTTGGGCGTTCGACGAAGTATGGGCGATGGATGGAGAAACAGGGCGAGTGCTAAGCGATAAAAGGAGTTTGGGGGGGATTGACTTGTTTTTTGTATTTTCATATTCTGGCGTAAATAAGTGAAATGGGGGGTTTTGTTTGAGAAGTGGTGAAGAGATTATGCATTGCGGTAATTGTTATAATATCATACATTGGGGGTTTGTTAGTTCTAGAATCTAAGTTTACCTGGTGATGGCAACTTAAAATGTATCTTATGGCCTCAAGTGAATCGGGTAAACAATGACTGTGTGGCGTAGTGGAAGCGCGTCTGCTTTACACCGGTGAAAATCGCAGAAGGCCGCAGGTTCGAACCCTGCCACAGTCATTTATAAGAAGTCAGGAGCGAGTGTTGTATAATTTTTTTCTTCTTCTTCTTCGGGCCCGCTTTGAGAGCACGCACTAGTATGGTACTGGTATCGTGCTGACAATCACCCACCCAGACTAGAAACAGAGCTGTTTTTGTTTATTGGGTGGGGCGTCTGATCCGGGTGTGTTATTCCTTACTCCGTATTCAAACACTGGTGCTAAAAGAAGGCTTGACAAGATGGATCGTAAATGTAACTAAAAAGAGTAAAGTGTTGGTGATTACAATAATTATAATGTAATACGAGAATGTAATATGAGGGTGTGTGGCTGAACCAAGTAGGGGGGAGAAGGGCATTGCAGGTTGTTACAAAGTTTAGCCACTTCACAAAATACTTAGTGAACAACAATGAACAATCCGAATGCTGAAATTGATAACAGTGCCGAGGAGGAAATTGAATTTTATGGAAGAGGGCAAGGACTGGGAGAGATATTTGCAGAAGAGGTTATTAACAACAATGAACAGGTGGATCATAAAGGAATTGAGCCAATAGAGGGGGAATGTGGATAGAGGGGTTTAAAGAAATATGAGGAAGAGGTAGAGAGTGAAGATGAAGACTTCAGGGAAGATGAGCAAGCACAGCAGGTGCCACAAAACCTACCTCCAGTACCAGTATTTGCATCCTACAAGCATCCAAAGTATTCAAAGCCACTATATAAGAGAATACTCAATCTTCTAATTGCATTTTTGAATTAGTACGATCCAGTCCACAATCCAGAGCCCCAAAATACTTGTTGCACTTTCAACTTCTTCCAGCTATTCTTTAATTAAGAGCAGTTTGATGAGCTTGCAAGAAATGCCAATACTTATGTAGTAGTAAAGGAGGCTGGAAGAGAGAATTTGTGTAGGTGGTATCCAGCTAAAGCAGGTAAGATCATGATTTTTGTGGATTTGATTATCAATATAGGCCTGTATCCTATCAGTACAGTGACTGACAATTGGCGAAAAGATAGTCTTGCTCCACTTTATAGGTGAACCTATTTAGTTTTCAATATTATGTACATAGAACTTGAAGTTTAATTAATTCAATTATAGGATATCTCAGTACATAACCCAAGTATACTTTAAATGGCTGAAATGATATTTTCATATCTCAACTCTAGTTGAGAATTTGCTTTACTATTCATGGTATCAGAAGTTAGAGCCACTTTTAACCAATCTTCAATACTGATATCTGTGCTATTGTATGCCAGCTATACAGGTTTTAATCAATAAAATAATGATCCTGTTTATTAGTAGATCAGTACATATTGTATGACTACTTAATAAACCTATACCAGAGGGCTACAAGATATTTGCCCTCTGCAAGTATGGGTATACATATTCTTTTATATATACTTCTCATATAGATCAATTCTTAGGACATGTTCTACCATATCCAGGACCTGGTAATCTGTGACTATGTCCTACCTCCTAGGTAGTATTCTACCTATCTACAACTTTGCTATATCAGTAGTATTAGTTTATTCTCTATTGTAATAATTACTTCAGTAATATATTTTTGTTTCAAGTTGTAACATGTTCGGGCCTGGCCCTAGTCACGTAGCGGTACGATAGGAGCAGATGGCTTTGTGATCAACACAAAGCGAGCGCTGCTTGCTAAAGGAGGCTTCGAACGGGGTGTAATTGGAGATCAAAGAAGTAACCGTTCAACCAAGTATATTTAAGAATACTGTCTGTCGAAGTCTGCTGTTTCCATCGTGGGAATCAGCGATCTTTAAATACAGCATATCGCTTATCTCCAGTATGAGCGATATTGCAAAACATTGTGTGTATCAACCGATAGCACACGAAACAATACAAGTATCAAACGATACTGTGAAACCAAACATAAAACATTGTGTATATCAACCGATAGCACACGAAACAATACAAGTATCAAACGATACTGTGAAACCAAACATAAAACATTGTGTATATCAACCGATAGCACACGAAACAATACAAGTATCAAACGATACTGTGAAACCAAACATAAAATCCTAGTACCCGTACCGGTTACACAAGTCCTATACTATTACCAAATTGTAGCCTGTAGTATAGTTCAACCCAATTCAGCTGAGTATCTATTAGTATTGAAAATCAATAAAAAGGGAGTTCTTTTACCATAGGGTACAATTTCTGGTATAGTACCTGAAAATCGTGAGGTACTAGTAGTGATTTGGTAGAACCAAATATTGGTACATCTTCTTACAACAGCTTATAATATGAGACCTATTGTATAAAACTATACTATCTATTTCTATCACTGACCATGCGGTCTGAATAATTAAAATGCATATTGTGAGATAATTGATGAGATATGGGGAAAGTTGAGAGTCTGTAAACTAGCAATATCTACCACTATGGTTGATTACAACATTCATATAGGAGGTATGGATAAAGCAGATCAGTACTATAGCTATTATTTTACACAATTACAAGTTGTTAGAAACTGGATACCTATATTCTTTTGGCTTATTGATACAACTGTTGTTAATGCATTTCTCATTGCTCAGCAGCATATGGGTAGAACATGCAATTCTCTATAGCAAAGAGATTTCAAGATTTCAAGAAAGGCTAGCCTGGGATCTTGTAGAGAAAGGCTACCAGTAGTTACATCCAGGACAGGTGCCACAGTTTCAGTTCAATGAACTTGGGCCTTGGGCTTTAGTTTTCAGTGGAAATACCCATACTGGTTATAAGATGGAGTATATTACCAAAGTTACTGCCTTACCTCTGATGCGAAAAGATCCTAGTACTATCTACAGACTTTCTCAAAATCAAGTTCAACAAAGACCAAAGTACTGTGTTCTATGTAGCTTTCTTTCCAAGCTCTCTCCTAAATCTCCATATTATGAGGCATTTTAGAATGCTTCTAGTGGGCAATAAGGTAAAATATGATGTTCCTATTTTGTTTGCAGTTATTGTACAATTGCTACGTTTAATGTTCCACTTTGTAAAAACTATTGTTTTAACACATTTCACTCTCTTGAGTAGCCTGAAATTATTTTCACCTTTATTTTTTCTCTTTGTACTTGGGTATTTGTTGTACTTCTATGGGGATTGATTGTTTCTTCTTTTGTTTTAATGCTTATGACCGGTTTCTACTTGATTTGTATATGAGATCGATGATCCGTGTTTTAGTGCAATACTAAAAGTGCGTGAAACTCGGGAACAGACGAAGGGATAGTACCGGTATGCCGAATATATCAGGTGCTTGCCTGCCTGGTTCCCGGAGATTTTTTGCGCTTGGTTTAATGTTTCTCGACTAACGCTTTTTATTTATTTATACCTTTTCTGTTGGGTGAGTGATGGGTGATACTTTGTATGTAAATACTGGCAGACTACGGTAGCCATGGAGATGGGAAGTGAGTACCATAGGTAGTGTGCTAAGTTAGGCGGTGGTGGACTTCGTGACCCTGGACTGAAGTGTGGGTAATATAAGGTCAATACCTTCTCCGCCTCTCCTGCTATGGGGTGAACTTTAACATACTGTAGCTTGATATGAGATAGTAGTAAAACTGTGGGGTTTGTGGCGATAACTGTGATCAGCGGGGCACGGTAGAAACTCCGATATCCCACCCGGACGTACTGGCACTTTGAGCTCTGCTGAGTTGAGTTGTATCGATACCGGTAGAATGCCGTGCTCGGTCTATAATATGACACTGGTACAGTACAGTGCTCTAGTCTGCCGCACGAAAGCGGAAGAAGAGGAAGCTGGTTTACCGGTAGCGTGGGATGAGCATTCATAGCGGAGGGGTAAAGAAATACGGCACAAAGCATTTTTTCCCTACCTATACCTAACTCACGGTAGGTACGGTAATCTGCTCGAGTACCGTATTCTACCCCCTCCTTTGGAGGACAAGGTGCCGTAGAAAGAGAATATGCGGGAGCCCGTTGCAAACCGAGACTCGACTGGTTCAGTCCGGTAACCGGCGGTTATCGCTTGTATCACACGTAGGGAACGGATGAATGTATAAGGAAGAATTATAAAAGCTGCTGCTGGTTCGACTATACAATTGGGAGGTTGGAGGTGGAGTTGTTAGGGGGGGTGCTTAAATAAGAGGGGTCCAGGCCGAAGTCTCCTGCTCTGTTCTGCCTTTGTTCATTACATTGCAATTACTGGTGTGGTAATTTACTGAGGATTGGGCAGGTTACGGTAGCCTTGGACATAATTGCACTTTCTCGCCTTTTAGGTTATCGGTACGGTGGTGCACGGAGTATTCCGCATCGTCATCGTCTGGGGATTTCTTTCTTTCATTCTTTCCTCCTGTGTTCTTCCCTCACAACAAACAAACGACCGTCAGGAAAAAAAACAGAGATGGACACTCCTTCAGGAAAGAAAGTCATTGTAGTGGGAGCCGGACCGGTGGGGGCTCTCACCGCGTTGTACTTTTCACATGCCGGGTGGGAAGTGGAGGTTTATGAGCTTCGGGGTGGTTTGTTCTTACTTGCCCCATTCCTAAATTCCTCGTTCGTTGGGTTGGCTGGCTGATGGATGGATGGATGGATTGGTTGAACAGACCTCCGCCTTCCGGAAAACCTTTCCTTGAACTTCAGCAAGAGCATCAATCTCGCACTGTCCGAGCGTGGAATCAATGGCCTGCGGAATTTGGGCGATGGGGGGAAACTCCTCGATGAGGTACTGTCCGAGACGATACCTATGTATGGCCGCATGATACATACTGGGGTGCCTGGTGAGAAGGGGGAGAGCCAGAAGTATGATGTTCATGGAAGGGTTTGTCTTGTCCACCGTTTTCTGTGAGCGGGGGTTGTGGTGGTTGGGGCTAATGGGATTGAGTACTTGCAGTTTATTCGTTCGGCGGACCGGGCGAGACTTAATGTCCAGCTTCTGGACGCTTTGGCGTTGAAGGATGTCAAACTGTTTTTCCACCGTGGGTTGAGGGGGCTTAATCTCGATGCTAATACTGCGGAGTTTGAGAAAATGTTTGTTTCGCTCTTGCTGCTGCTTGTAATTC